TTTGACTTTGGATTGACCCTTAAGGATTGGACTATAGTTGTTCTTTGTTTTTCCCTTATGCTTGTTCATTTCTTTATTTTGTATCTGTAGGGAGCTAGCGGTTGATGGACTCCGTGTCTGTGCTAGCTCCACATCTGCCTCAAATGTATTTAAATATTTTATGTGACTGCAATTTTATGCAAGGCTATTTGAAATTGAATAAAGAAAGAAACTGAACTGAATTCATTCATGCGCAGATGCCTACAGTATGCCCAGTAAAATAAGGTGGAAATGATTATCCAAAATGGTAAACAAAATTTTAGATGAAACAACAATATAATTTTATGCAATTCAGCGACTGGTAAGAATTATGGCATTATAAGTTGTTTAGACTAAGATTTACAGTAGATGGGAAAATTGTGGTGTGGGCACATTGTCGTGTATGGTTGTGCTGCTTCATTATGCTTTCTCTATTTTCTGGATTTTGTTTTTTTTGGTGAATTTGGCTTCGGTCTACAATAAAATACTGAGTCACTGTCCAATTGACTGGCTCAATTTTCATGTCAATTTTGGAAACCCCAATATGCATGAATTAATGAATGAATTATTGACTGATTGAATGAATGAATGAATGAATGAATAATTAAATTAATAAAAGAATTATGGAATGAATGAACGAACAATTGGATGAATTCATGAATGAACAATTGAATGAACGAATGAATGAATGAAATAACAGTGATTTCTAATTGGCAATGTCTGCCAACTAAAAGTTGACTAACTTTGTGCTGGCGTTTTCTCTTCCTCTTCTTCCTCCTCCTCTTCGGGCTCCTGTGATTGGTCATTGGTGGGTTTCCCTGCTTTCTTCTCTTTCTTTTTTAACTTCTTCTTTTCCTTTCTTTTAGCAGCTGCAGCCTTCCTATTTTCTTCTCTTGACTATAATGAAAAGATAGAAATTACCTATTAATTCTCTATACAAATAATTCATATTATTATTACTATTATAAAAATAATAATAATAATAATAATAATTATTATTATTATTATTACACTAAGGTTATTGTTTTTGTTTCTTCCAAATCATTTAAAAGATCATCACATGAATGTTATCTGTTAATATATCAAAAAAAAAAAATGAAAATAGTTTTCCGGAGGGTTAGTTTCTGATGGGAAGAAGTTTCACATACCTTCTCCGATTCCAGTTCTTCAAGTAGAATGTTTGCATTTCGGTTTGCTTCAGCGGCCTGTCTATCTTTGGCTGTGACAATAATCTCCATACACTGGTGACATTTCTTTAGCAGCTCCTAAGCCAAAGCCATAATAAAAGTTAATGATAAGCTTGGAACAATTATCCAACCAGAGGAAAGTAATTATTACGACGATAAAGTGTATTGAGAATAAATGTGCAAGGTGTGTGAATATTAAAGTGTAGAGATACACCACTAATGTGAAAGATGGGACAAGTTTTGTATTTGGACAACTACTCAAAAGCAGCAGAAGACAATGGCAAATACAAGCTATGCGTTTATATTTCCACCAACATGCTACCCCTACTGTCTCAGGCTGGGGACGAGGAAGTATGAATGTAACAATACAATCACTTACCTTGTCTGAAATAGTGGCAATGAACCTCATACACTCTGTATCTGATGGGAACTGATTTACATGCTTCACCATCCATTTCACTACTTTAACATGACCCTAGAAAAAGAGGACATGCCCTTTTAACATGTGCACTCAAGCATGACAACGAACTGTAACTTAAAAACATGTGACATCGTATTTCCGCTTAAATCTCCAATTAAAGACCACGTTTGGGACTGGGGTTCCCATGGTCTTTGGCAGCTTTGGTATTTAATTATAATAATAAAGATAAATTTGGGATAACGGGAAAAGTGGTCTTTCATTGGAGGTGATCTTAGAGGGAGACCTGTATTGCTGATTAAGTCCAAATTACATATTAGAGACAGTTTAAATTATTAAAAATCTGTATAATAATTTAGAGACCTCTCTATTTTAGTACACCTTGGAAAATTAATGGTTCCTGTATGTTTGAGCTCTCACTACCAAAGACAGGAGTCCCAGCCCTTTAGGGCCCTAGAATATTAATCAGCATTGCTGCCCCATATATTTGCCGAGCAGAGCCTTTTAAATGAGCAGTAACTTGTAAAAAAAACCCCATCTAAATACTTTCTTAAAATGTCTATTATGCTGAAAAAGGGGGGAGGGGCTTCCCCCAAACATGCCTTAACCAGGGGTCTCAGACTTGTTTGTTACACCACTCTTAAGGTTTTGTTTTGTCTTCTTGTTTGTTTATCTAACATTTTGGGTCACATGAACAAGGAGTGGATTGTGCTAACCTTGCGAAATGCTGCCATCAAACAGGACACTTTGCGATTATCTTGACTATCAATATCAGCTTTGGCATTTACCAGGAG